TCTCTTCAAACTAGTCTCTCAGTTTTAAAGTTATCTTGCTGAAACTTTCCCAAAAGGTGTGTAGTTATTGCACGCAGTATATAAGTCGGAACGGGCCGGATCGGCCGACTATATCGGATAGCTCCTATACGAGAGAATGAAATAAAAAAATTCTCACGCCGTTGTTTTTGATCAGATCGACTTGAATTCTTCAAGATGGCGTTTTCTAACTGTTATTGAATTTCGGATTAAATTTGAACAAAATCGGAAAACTCTATCATATAGCTGCCATGAAGAGATCGAAAAATATATATAGAATTCATGGAAATAAATTGATAGCATCGCTGTTTTTTATCCCACGAGCATGATTTTTTGAGTATCAAGTTTTTTAACTAGCCTTGATTTATAATAAAAATTTCATAAAAATCGGACAACTATATCATATAGCTGCCATAAGAAATATCGAAAAATCTATATAGAATTAACGGAAATAAAATGATAACATTGTTATTCCTCATCAGAAAATCATGATTTTTGGAATATAGAGTTTTCTAACGACTCTTGAATAGCAAATAAAATTTCATCAAAATCGGACAACTATATCATATAGCGGCCATAGCGGTCGTCGTAGATTCGATGTTCTTTAGCCTTTGTGTATTCTGTTCGAAATATTTGATGACTGCAAGGGTATATAAGCTTCGGCTTGCAGAAGCTAGCTTCCTTTCTTGTTTTTATATAATTTTTTGATCTTTCCTATGACAGCTATAAGATATAGTTGTGCGATTTTCATGAAACTCTTTTCTCAACTTAAGGGTTATTAAAAAACCTGATATTCAAAAAATTATGCTCGTGGGATAAAAAACAACGATGTTATCAATTTATTTCCATTAATTCTATATATATTTTTCGATCTCTTCTATGGCAGCTATATGAAAGAGTTATCCGATTTTGATAAAATTTAATCCGAAATTCAATAGTAGTTAGAAAACTCCATCTTGAAGAAATCAAGCCGATCTGATCAAAAACAACAGCATGAGAATTTTTTATTTCATTCTCTCGTATGAGAGCTATCAGATATAATCGACCGGTCCTGCCCGTTCCGACTTATATACTGCGTGCAATAACTACACACCTTTTGGGAAAGTTTTAGCAAGATAGCTTTAAAACTGAGAGACTAGTTTATATAGGAACAGACAGACGGACAGACGTACATTCGTATTTCGATTCTGATCGTGATGCTGATCAAGAATTTGTATGTATACTTTATTGGGTCTAAGGTGTCTCCTTCACAGCGTTGCAAACTTCTGACAGAAATTATAATACCCTTTGCTCTGCAATAGTATAATAATATAGTAAAAACATCTGAGAAGACAATAAATTCTTTCCGGTAAAGTTTTTCGCTTGAAAAACATGGCAATGTTCTAAAAACGGGTTGTCTCGCAGCTATTTTAACAAATAACAAGGTAGCATTTTTAAAAAAGAATAAATTTCCTAGCCCATTTTTAGCAAAAGCCCCTAAAGCGCAACTTTAACAATTATAAGTTAAAATCTGGAACTTTTATAGTTATCATTAATTTACAATGATTTTGTATAAATTTATATTGAGGTCAGGTATTTTTACTATTAACAAAAAATCACGAGGAATTTAATTTAATATTCAACATTTGAGATTTTACTATATTATTTTAAACAAGAAAAGAAGCTTATGTATATACCCTTGCAGTCATCAAATACATACATACATATGTATTTACATATGTCGAACAAAATACAACATCGAAGCTATGACGATTTTCCTATTAATTTTCCATATTTTCGACTATTGTTTATATGGCAGCTATATGACATGGTTATACGATTTCAATAAAATGTAATTCGTAATTCAAGAGTGGTTAGAAAACTCTATGTTCCAAAAATTATGCTTCTCTGATGAAAAAAATGGATAAGAATTAAGGTGCCAATCAAAAATAGTTAATGCATAGTTAAGCTGTAATAAGCTAATACATCAATTAAACTGTTAATATCTGTATACAACCCGTTCAATTAGAATTTCTTTTGACATTCACACCTCTCACCCTTTTTTCTACTGCTGTAAATGAATTCGTTTTGGCACAGAAAGGATTTCGGCTTAAAAATCGTCTTCTTGCTCAAGTAAGCATACATACATACATACGCACTTACTTGTTCTCACACACGCAACCGTATTCTATTTTTAAATTTTTACGCTCTCAACTTTGTACGAGCGCGCTGAGAGCGAGAGAGGATAGAAGAAGATAGAGAGATCGTTCGTCAGTGGTTAGAGAGGGATGGGGATGTGTCGCGTAACCGAAAAATGTGACGCGTAACCGAGAAATGTGACGCGTAACCAAAAAAATGTGACGCTAAATTTTTTCCAACGCCGATAAAAAGTTTCACTTCAAAAAAGTTATTTTATACACTTTTCAGCCCAATTCAGCAAAAAAAAAAGACGAAAAAATTACACTTTTTTTTTGAAGACGTGATTTCAATATTTTAAAATCGAATTTTTTTAAGTTGCAGACATTCATACACTCGGGAGAACCTTGCTGAATAATAAAAAAATTTTGTTGTATGTTTCCGATGAAAACTTTGGGCTCCACACTGTACCGCAATAAGTCCCTCAGCCGCGTCGAGCCATTTGTTTTTTAGAATTTTCAAAAAATGTTTTTCTTATACTTTAAACATGTCTTCAAATATATGTTAAAAATTATTCGTGTAAGTTTTAATTTTCCAAGTGAAAAAATTCCCAAAAAACAACTACTTTTTGACATGTTACGTGAAGCCCCCCTAAGTAGCATCAGCACGACATGAAAATCGAGTACTACTTAAATTCTTGAGGCTATAAGATATTTTCAAAACTAACGATTTTTCTTTGAAACTTTTATATCGTGCCGGTGAACACGTAAAAAACACGTACACGTGTTTTCGTAAAAAAAATAACAGCGTCAAGGCATGCACTAGCTGCGGCCTTGCCTACAAGATTCAGTGATTGTGCATAACATGAAATGATAGCTGCTTTGCTATTTACTTCAAGTATTTTAGCCTGCATTTCTTTGTACTTGCCACTCATTTTTGGGGAGGTGTCGTACGATTGACCACGACAATCTTAAATATCAATGCCATGCTGCTGGAGGAAATGGAGAAGAGCGCCCGCCATTTCTGCTCCCGTGTGGCCACAATTGGGAAGAAAAGTCAAAAACCGTTCAACTGGCTCCAATTCCTTAACTTATCTGATGATCACTGACAATTGGTCAATGTGCGCTTCATCAGGGGTGGAATCGACAAACACTGAGAAATACTTGGCCTTTTTTACATGAGCAACTATTTCTGCCTGTACTTTTTTCCTTTTCAAGGCAAATGGTCAAAGACAAGTAATTCATATGCCCTTGTCCACGATTTTCATGTTCTTGAATATGACCAGCCAAAAACAGATTGTATTGAGCGAGTAGTTCAATTGTTCTGAGAAAATTTCCATTGTTTGGCGAGCCTAAAATTTCATCGAAGCCACGAAACGCAAAACCTCGTTCTGCGATGAATTTAATGGTACCGCCAACTCTCCGAAAAACTTTGCGCCAGTACGCAGCTTTTTCTGTGATCTGTAAAATATATGACTTGTTTTATAAAATACGAAAGAAATCTGCTGTTGCAACGCTTTGTTAACACGCGCTATGTGGTTGGCGTGTGTCGCACACGCTACAATTGAATCAACATGGAGCATTGACTTTTCAAGTTCAGTCACACGATCTGATGAGTGTTTCTAATCACAAAAACCTTCTTGCCTCGTTTTCGTGGTTCTCAATTTTTTGGTTGTTTAACTTTATATGTATATATAAAACTTCTGTACGTGTGTTAGTCATTGAACTCCTCCTAAACGGCTGGACCGATTTTAATGAAATTTATTATGGTTAAAGATTCATGAAACTAAATGACGCTTGAATGACGAAAATAAATGAAAACTAACAGTCGCCATTTATGTAGCCACTTAGGCAGCTAGATCTCCGTCATTCTCAGGCAAATCTATCAGGGTTTTAGGATGAATCTCATGGCTTTTTAGATCTTTTATTTACAATATTTTTTGCGCTATTAATAAGTTTATTTTTTTGTCTGTGTATTTTTCAGTAAAAGAGTTAAATAGTCTGCGGTATCATAGGGTGTTTTAAGATTATTAAATTATAATATTTGAGTGTTTTAAATTCCAACATTCCTAAGCTGAATTCAAGTGTAAACTTTCGAATACATTAAGAGATCTCCAAAAATATTATATGGAAAGACAGAAGGACCTGCATACAGGCCGACAGACGGGCAGAATGACAAACATACAGATAAAGAGATTCCTTCTTCTCTTCTTCTTCTTCTAATTATAAGCAAATATTTTGTTTGTGGGGGGACGGTGGCCCAGCAGGTAGAGCGCTGGTCTCCGGTCCGGAAGGTCCGGGTTCGAATGCCACGCTCCCCGAGAAAAAGAAACGATCTCTTTTTCCAAATCTCCACCATTTCTATGCTTATCGCTCACTTAACATTAGTAACAAATTTCGGCTCCCCGGACCCGCACACCCCCTCGTCCACGTTACTATGGACCCGACAATAAAACTTTTCGTCACTCCTAGATTGCGCCAGGTGGTAACCCCACCGCTAGGATAAGTCGCTACTGGCTATTCACCAGTATGATCGAAAAACAAAATATTAATAAATCCTCTTCAAAAAAAAAAAAAAAAAAAAAAAAATTGTAGAGGCTCTATGCTCCCGGGTGGAGTTAATGAATGTAATTTTTATTTGTTCTTAAACGACGCTTGATATATAAAGAAATATTAGTGAACAGTTTCATAAAATTACAAAGGGGCTTAAAGCTCAAGAGATACAATTTTTCCACCATAGGGGATAAACGTTATAAAGATCGAACAACTATGTTATACAGCTTCTATAGAAAAATTTAAAGAGTGAAAGAGTAATATTTACTTCGCCGAGGGTAGCTTGTTTCCTAGTTAAAATTAAATTATATTTACCTTTTATATGAGGCACGGAGTGATTTTCAATGATCCCTATTGCCTCGATTAGTAACATAACTATGCCAAAAGCTATCCCTCTTTGTTGCAATTTTGGTAGAAACATCGCAGCAGTCTTCTCGTTAAGATTTGAGCATTAATAAATCGAGAATATTTAGGTACGAGTTGTTCTATTTATCCAACTTTTAATTTTTTTATATGACATCAGTACGTTCACGTTTGAGTTCATAGTTATTGATTATCTAAAAGAAATTTAAAGAAACGTTTTATTAATTGTTTTAAAATTTTATTTACATAATTTAAAATTTTTAAAAATACTGATAATATTTTAACCAATGTTTATGCACCTAGCGGTTTTAGTTTTGAGAATGGTTTCTTAAAACTAGAATATATACCTATATTTATTATGATATTGATTTTCTTCTTAATCATTTTTAGTTCTAATAATATTTTTTTTATAAAAACCGTTATTGACCGTTTTTTAGATCTTAGATCTTTAAACAGTTAATGTCACATATGGCACATTTAATTGGCATGCAAGGCAATAGGTTAGATTACAAACACTGGAATAATAGGACTAGCCGAGTTGCGCAGAAAATTTAAAAAATTGTCCGAGTTGCGCAAGAAGCCGATTACGGTAAAAACAAAAAAAAGACATCCCAGTTGCGCTAAAACGCTTTATCCATATTAGGATTTTAGTTACTGGGGCGCCAAGATTAAAAAAAAAAAAACTAAACTAAAAACTGTAAATATTATTATTAAATATTTTTTTACCGTAATCGATTTATTGCGCAACTCGGACATTAATTTTTTATTTGCAAAAATCGTTTTTGCGCAACTCGGACATTCATTTTTTATGTACAAAAAGCGTTTCTGCGCAAATTGGAATTTTTTTTACTGTAATCGGCTTTTTGCGGAACTCGGTATCGGCCAGCAGCGCCATGTTTGGATTGCATAATTTATTTGCTGCGATGTTAATAAATTGTCATGTTGCTCGATATCAAAACGGTCAAAGAATTTTAGATTTTGGTTTGGGACAAGTGTGAAGATAGTCGTGGTTATAATTTTTGATGGGGGAAATAACGGTTTTATTGTTCGGAGATTTTCGACAAAGACCTCGTGTAATATGAAGATGAAATAAAGTTATGTTTAAAATTATTATTACTTGAACTTTTATCAAAAAATTGTTTTGACCCAAAAGCTTGAAACTTTCGCAAACATCTCTGAGAATCGAAGACGGTGTTCTTCCGATTGCGTGGGAAATAAAAAGATCCTCTCAAGTTTAGGAACGGTTATAATTTTTATCGAGAGGAAATTGACCAAGAAAGTTAGTACGATGAACTTCTATGCATACCAGTTAATGATTCGTGCTAATGAAGACAATAACATTCTTCCATTCCGACAGCTATTTCATCAGAATGTTGTCGATATGTATACAAAAATTGAAAGTGAGAGATTACAATACGTTAAGTTTAATTGGCGTGACGCCATTATTGGTTACGTAGATAAAACAAATAATATCATGTAACAACATAACAATCAAGCGGAATGCGCCCGTGCAATGCATGAAATTTTAGGAATACGGCCACATAAAGCAAATAATATTAACAACATAACAATAGAGACGTGGGACAGGGCCCGTGCAATGCATGCATTTTCAGGAATACGGCCACATGAAAACTTACTCCACTCTACGCGCAGTCTGCGTTCCTTGTGGGGATGCACATTCTACTGAGGCCTGCCCAATAAATAAGGAGAACCATTGTGTCAAAAATGTAATAATTGTGGGGGAACCATACTGCAAATTATAAAGGTTGTCCTGTTTATAAATAATTAAAAAGTCGATTAGGCCAAATCAATTCTCCATATAACCCATCGACCACGAGCTAAGTTACAACAACGGGACTTACACCTCAGCATCTAAGCTGACAGCTCAGCAAACCACTGTTGATACAGTGCCGCAACAAACACTAAACCAAAGTCCACAAATTACTGACCACATATAATTGCAAACACACAATTGCCCAATGGTGTAGAATCAATACTGGTAACTACAACTATACCTAACTGCGACAGCAAACGCTGCAGAAACCAGAGCTCGCAAATAACAGTCGACCGTTTCTCGTTGTCTGCTAATAACAGTCTTCTCCTGACCCTTTACGAAAAGTCTCAGAGAACGACCGATTTATGGGTTCGTGAATGGGTTCGGTTGCGCTCAGACGAAAGATTAATTTCATTTGACGTAGTATCTCTGTTTCCCAGCATTCCTATAGACCTTGCATTGGACATAATTAATAATAAATGGACGATATTGAAAGAACACACTAAAATTCCTAGTAAAGTATTTCTGGACATAGTAACACTCTGTATTCAAGACAACCGATATTTTAAATATGAAACTAAATTATTCATACAGTTAAAAGGAATGCCAAAGGGATCACCCGCCTCACCGGTAGTTGCTGATATTGTCATGGAAACTTTATTACAGAACACGATGGAGAAATTAAGACGACCCCCGAGACTATTGACGAAATATGTGGACGACCTTTTTGGAATAATTAAAGAAGATGTAGCATGTAACTGTCTATTGGAGAATGAGCTGATGGTAATAAAAAAAAACGTACCTCAGGGAAATAAGTATATGTACATTGATATTTTTAACAAAAAAAACGATTTAAACAAAACAAATCAATCCAACTTTTATTGGGGTATGTAGTACTCCTATGTACAAATAAAAATAATAATAACAAACCTTTTATTTTCTTAAACTTATTAAATAACTGAATTAATTAATAATAGTTCATAGGAAATAAGTATATATACATTTTCAGTAATTCCTATAATATCAATATCTATGTAAGTATTTTTTATCTTTTTAGTTATTTTAATAGTTTATATGCTTTCCTTTTGCTATTATAACTTTGTTAAGGCGATCCGGCATAGAATCCACCAATCCTTTAAGAATATTATCATTAATTTGATCCCATTCAACGACCAGAGTGTCTCTCAGTTGTTTGATGGTGTCAAACTGTCGGCCATTTTTATAAACTTTGGCCGAAAGGATGCCCCAGAGATCCTCAATAGGATTTAGGTCGGGGCTTATGGCTGGCCACTCTAAAAGTGGAATTTTTCTTGACGAAAAAAACTCCTTTGTGGTCCGTGCAGTGTGGATTGGTGCGTTGTCTTGCTGGAAAGTCCAATTATCCCCGTAAAGGTTTCCAGCGAACTCGATAAGGACATTGTCCAACAACTGAGTATATATCTCTGCATTTGTTCTTGTAGGAATAAAACAAATTGGAGACCTTCCCGCATACCCGAAAGCAGCCCAAACCATCAAGGAGCCTCCGCCATGGTTTCGCTTATGCCGGGTTTGCCTTGGTTGCCTTATGTCGCGCCAATACTTTTGACACCCATCTGGACCATCTAAATTAAACTTTTTTTCGTCCGAAAAAATTACTTTGCGAAACTCCTCTGTCCAAAATTTATATTTTTCCGCGAAGGATAATCGTGCGCTTAGATGGCGTGGTAGCAGCTTAGGTACAGGCACTCGGGAACTATATTTAAGGTTCTTATTTTCAACTAAAAGTTGATGGACCCGTCTCCTAGTGACATTAAGATGTAAATGACGTTTAATCTCGTTGCACGACATTTGTTTGTTTACAGCTAGGCGCTGAATTTCGCGTTTGCACCTAGGGTCGATGCTACTAGGTCTGCCAGAGCGTTTTATTTCACCATATTTTTTCGGGTTTTTGATAAAGTTTCTAATGGTATGTCGATGTCGAGAAACTCTAGCAGCTATTTCGGAAATTTTACATCCGTTTTCATTCATTGCTGTTATTATTCCGCGTTCTTCGGCTGACAAATGGTCTCCGCGTGGCATGCTAAGGTAAAACCCTAATTATATTTACATTTTTCACACAAACACTAATCAACTTACATTTGTTGGTTTGAAAATAAGCTCTTCTCTTAAAAAAAAACAATTCCGGACTAATTTGCTGACCAAAAGACTTCCACTTTTCATTCAAACCACGCTAGTTTATTTTTGTACATATACTTATTTCCTAAGAAAACCTTCTTGCGCCACAGAATACAGTGATAACGGTACTAAGAATGATGAGCAAAAACAAATTTGGTAGAAGCATTTTATAAATAGATTGCAACTGCACATAATTGCATACCAAGATTAAATGCGCAATGACGATAAGTAAAAATTAAGTCAATAATATTTTTGTACATATACTTATTTCCCTGAGGTATAAGCGGAGCACGCGGTATCCTCGGCTTTTATTTTATTTAGTCAGATCGGCTTGGGGTGGGTTAACAAAAAACAGAAACCGCAACGTTTATCGCTCAAATGCTAGGCAAAAATAACTAAATTAGCGTACTTTATTTTTTTTTTTGAAAAGGGGATAGCAACCGAAGAAGGCTTAAGAAGGGAAAGAATATGAAAAAAAAAGAAAGGAACACACTTGCCAAAAAAATTACATCATCCCTTTCACTACGCAAAAGTTGCGAAGTGCCCACCCTACCTTGATCTTGTTGGTCCTACATTTCATCGACAAGATCCCTCAGAATGATCACAAGTTACCTCGACCCTCGGACAACCATGATCCCCAGTTAGGAGATACTTAGCTAAAATTCATTTTTCTAATTTTTATTATTTATACACAAGGGAAGAAAAACTAGTCATTTCATATAACATGAGATTTTGTTGTTGTTATTATTATTCCTCTTCTTTAGAAAGGGGAAAGAAAAACCAATGCTTAAGTAATTTATTCACAAAAAAATTAAACTAATTCAGGCAAAAAATAAAAAATAAAATAAATAATTTAATCCTGTTTTATTAATTTATTTTTTTTTTTTTTAATGATAGATCAAAAAATGCATGCTTCTTATTTTATTTTATATTCTAACCAAGACAATTATTGTTGCTTATTTATTTAAATTTTAAGTATACAAATTCTATAATAATTTTTCCCTAATCGATAATATTTTATTTTCATTTTATTTCTTTCAGTGCATTTATTTAAGTTTTAATTTCAATATTATTTTTTTTTTTTCATGGCAAAGAGAATTATGTTGCTGGAAAAGAACGGGGTTAATAAAATAAGATGCGGTAATGTAATATATAAAAAGAATAATAATATTAAATTAAATTAAAAAAATATAATAATAATAAAGAACACTATTAATGAAAACTAAACAAAATTTTAAACAATAAGAAAAAAGAAAAAGTTTTAAT